TTATGTAGGAAATGTATAATTCTGTATTATCACAGAAGTATGGAGAAGCTTCATCTGCTCAGTCGGAATTCGATCCGCATGCTTGGATTGAAGCAATTGGAGGGATGGAGACTACATGCACTCACGTATATGGGTTTGGTACTCGGGTGCCTGTTACAGCTCTACTTAATGGAACACAAAGCAATGCAGCAACATCTGAGTCTGCGTGTGGCCCTATCAATGCTAACGTTACCAGTCCCGCAATTGCATTAGAGGAAAAAGTGAAAAATCTATCAAACAACTTAGATAAGATTCATGAGGAAATACGTGAAGAAATTAAGAATGCAATGTCGGAAAGCATGAGTGAATTTATGGCATGCATGGAACCAATGATCGTGACTAATGCGATTTCAAAACAAGGAAATGCGGGAACTTCAAGCTTAAATATTGACAAGTAAAAATGCAACATCTCATGATATGATGTCTCTTTTCCATTTTTAGACTTGGATACTTTTTAGTATTGATGTTTAATAACAATATGGAGTTTATATCAAGTTATGTGTTTGACATTTTGAGATATTGTATGTTTATTATAATTTTAAATTGTATGAACTTAACTTTGCATTTTAGCTTTTATTGTGCTTTTATTATATATTTTGAAAGTTAATTGTGGAAGTGAATTGGACATTTATTATCGAAATTTTAATTGTTGAATTTGGTTGAATAAGCTTCACTAATAAAGTAAGTATTACTAACAGAAAATTTTCGTTGGAGAAGCATTTCCAACGGATTTTTCCGTTGGAAATTTTCAACAGAATTTTCATCGGAAAATCATTTCCAACAAGAAATTTCCGTTGGAAGTGATTTTCCAACGAAAATTAATGCATGAAAGTCATATGTTTATGTATTTTTCGACGAAAAGTGTTATCGACGAGGCTTTTAACGATGGATTTTTCAATAGAATTCTAACTTTTTCCAAAAGAAAATTCCGTCGAAAAAAGCTTAATTTTTTTTAGTTCTTGCTCCATGTGCAATTTGTAAGAGGATCTCATCCTTACTATCTCCTGCCCTTTTGCCTTTGCAAGGTTTTTATGTACAACTGCGAACTATGTTTGGTATCTTACATTAGTGGTAGATATAATATGCTCAATTATTAATTTTACCTGAGGCATAAGCTTCAATAAGATTTTCTCCTCCAGGGTACCTAAATAAACTTTATGATTTCTCTAAACCTTTTAACCATAATAATGACAAACAGCCTTTCTTCTTGTACTTTTTGATGCCACCGGTAGGTTTTAGGGCCCTGGCGATGAAGTCCTTTAATTCCTTCCCCTTCTTCTTCCTCAACGATTTCTTCTTTTATTTGGAAGATTAAGTGACTAGCAACTCTTTTCCTTCTTAATGGATCTCTCAACTGTGTCTATCATGTTGAACAATTCAGGCAAGGTAGCTTCCAATTTATTCATATGAAAGTTCATCATCCATTGTAAAAAGCTATCTGGTCGAGATTGTAAAACTAGGTCAACAAAAATTTCATCCATGACAAAACCTTGATGACCTAGTTTCTCAATGGAATCAAGCACCTTTAAGCCACGAGCCCTGACAAATTACCTTTTATTGTCTTACTACAGAAAAATTCCCTTGATGCTCATACCTTTCAATATGACTTTACTTGTCAAGAAATTCTCTCAAGTTCAAAATCATAGTCTGAGCATCCATATATACTCTCATATTGTTTCTATAATTCAGGGTCCATACTAGTCAACATCATGCATGCTACCAAATCATCATTGTTTTTATGAGTCTTATAGGCTTCCCAAGCCTTATCATTGACGCCTTCAACAACAATATTTCAAGCACGTACCATCTCTTTTCTTGTTCGAGAACTATTCTCAAATTACAATACCACTCCAAGGAATTTGTCTGGTGAGCTTATTTGCATCTAATATGCTTCATAGTGATAAATTGTTGCTTATTTTCTACAACTTGATATTTCAAAGCATATGAATATTGGCTAAGGAATTTAAAGTTTTCTAATTAAACTTTCAAAAGCAACCCAAATCTTTTTTTTTAAAGAAATCAATGTAGCTTTAATTTGAGAGAAACATAAAAAAAAAAAAAAAGAAAAAATCTTGCAAGATATTTCTATTTCTCCTGAAAAACTCATTTCATAAGATAAAATTCATTGCACGTTAATTTTCCCTTTTTAATCATCATGAAAAGGGTATAATAAGTGGTTAAGAGCAATTTTCATGAGAAATGTTCAATATATGTTTTCTCTGTTTTTGTCGTCAACAATGCATTATATAAAGGGTTCAAGAAAAGATAACTCATCGAATCACATAAGCAATGATGAATATAATTTAGTTCAATCGATCAAGTTTCATTTTCTTTCAAAACGTAGACATATATATCAATTTCGAAAGAGATTCAAGCATTTTACTCAAGGTAGGACAATGCTATTTTTTTCATGTTGGAAAAGCACGGAACATGCATACGGAATATTCTAACCATAAGTTTATGGTTTATTAGTGATTTAGTGTTTTTTTTTTCAAGTTCAAGAAATATCAAAAGGCCAAATTAAGCATTCAACTCATAGATAACTTCAATGGTTTAATAAATTTCCAAGCATCGAAACTAATTTGGCACATAGACAATTTGATACCAATTGTTAAAAAAAAAGGTTTAAGAATTCTAGTATATCCCTTTGGGCATAAATGATTTTTCATCCAATTTTAGAAGAACAAGAGGTAAGCATCCTTCAATATCTTTAAATCATGGGCCATAAATCATTTTTAAGAAACAAACAACTCAATTATGACACGGTAGGAAGATATATTCATCATTCGAATCATAAAATTTTCAACACAAAGAAGATAAATAAATATATATATATCAATTCATATTGTAATTATACTTATATATTGATATTGGTTAAGATGATAATTAAACAAAGAAAATTAAATATAGTTAATGTTTTATCCATTCTTTGAATTTGGTTGGACCCATAGGAGAAATCCAAGAAGAAAAGAAAGGGGATAAAAGGGGTAAAACATTGAGCAATTGACTTGAGTAAAGGCACATATATATTCTATTTTGATGTTGGAAGCATATAAAAACATGTTGTCCCCTTGGAGTCCAAATGGAGACCAACCAATTATCCAAATTAACATGATTTGCCTTAGCCTAATTTTAGTAAGGAAATTGAAGGGTGCCCGCATTTGTCTCATGCAACATTGTGCAAGAAAAGGAAGACTTTGTCAACGTTACACCTGCTAGGTCCTCCTTTCGTTGAATAGCCTTAACACCTCATATTCTTAGCAACTTTTTCTCTCTACCTTT